GCTATGAAATAGCCAATCAAATAAACACAGGAAGGTGACTGCAAGATGAAACGAAAGAACTCCCACCTGGAGTAAGGAACAGCAATGAGCCTCAAAGAGAAGGTACTGAGCACCTCAGGATGCTAGGCGAAGCCACCGAGATTTGAAAAGAAAGATCTGGGTTGAGTTCTCTGGGTCACTGGCTATTTTTCTACTTACCACAAAGGTTTGCAATATGAATCTAACTAGCATAAGTCCTGTTTGCCATCAAATGTGCCTGGAGGATACAGTGGGTGCATAATAAATGTTGGCAAGACTTTTCCCTTCCACACACTGTGAAAAACTGTCATGTCTTCAGATGGGGTTTCAAAGATGAACCAAAAAAAAAATTGGAAATGACTAAAAAATCCTGAATCATTGATCCTGTTAACTACAGCAAGAGTCTGTATTCTTTCAGTACTCAAGATGCTTCTGTTACAAGGCCAAAGAGGAAGGCATCTTGGAGGTGTGGAATGGTAAACTGTTGCCTCATTGTCACCAGTGGCTGAGCTGGTTACCCTCATGGGAAGCATGCCTTCACCAAGCTCAGCATTCTCCTCTGAAGCTGCAGGAAGATGGCTGTATGGTTGGAAATCCCTTAATATGGAAAGATTTAGCTGAGCTGAGATCTACCTTTCTTCAGCCCCTACCCTACAGTTTCTCATCTATTTGTCCACAACATACACACAAGCAAAGTTCTAAGTTAATGATCATTTAATGTTCACTACAGGGCACTAGGTCAACCCTGTTGGTGTTTCAGTAGATGAGTAAAGAAAGGAAGAGGCTGCCATCCTGTGGAGGTGGGGGGACAGCATTTGAACCCATCCCCATGGCACTGAAATGATCACTGGAGCATCAATGTTCAGGAAAAGTGCAGTGCTAACTACAGAAAATAGTTCCCTCTTCTACACAAATCCTTGAGATACCAACTAATGAGGGAGCATTGATCAGGCCAGATCAAGCAACACAAATGTTTTTAACACTAGTCCCAGATTCCTATATGAAACCTCACCCATCCACGGTTCGGGGACCATTTCGGAAGAGGAGGCGGAAAGATTGTAAGAGCCAGGGTTGGTTCATGAACATAAGGAGGTGGAGGCTTCCAGGCCACTGGAGGCTTGCTCATGTGAGCCTGCGGCAGCGGTGGCATCAAACAAGAGACCCATGAGGAGGTAAGAAATAGGTGGCAGGCCAGCACTAGATTGAGAACTATTTGAGACTGATTGCTGCTGGGTGAGGGAGAGTAGGACTTATATACGATCACTGGATGGGATGACTAGACTCCAGTGGACATGTTTACACTGAAGGAGATTTGGGTACAAACACCTGAATGAATAGGACTCAGCATGTATGGCAGAGTACATAGGGTTCGGTGGGGGGATGGGGGAGGCTTGGATGGGGGAGGGGGTATGAATGTGAGTGGGAAATGTATGAAATTTTAAAAGCTCAATTAAAAAACAAACAAACAAACCCCAAAACCAACTAGTCCCAGAGAACTGAATGAAAGTCACTGGACCACTAGACAGCTAAAGTGTTTTCTCTGCCACTTCCCAATGGGAGGTCAGACTTCTCTGTGCTTTCGTTTCTTCATCCTTAAACTGGTTACTATAACAAGTTTGAGGTGAGAGCCAGAGTCAGTGTCTAGTGTGTCCTAGCACATTTGTTCACAGCAAACACACCGGAATCAGCCTTGACTCTTCCTCTCCCTGTTTACATCCCACCTGTAAGCAAATTCCATCACCTTGACCTTCAAGCTCTCAGCATCTGACCTCTTCTCAGTCCTGCTGCCCTCTGTCCACCTAGTCCAAGACACCACCATCTCTCATCTGGTTTCTTGCAATAACCATGTGCAAGGTTCCTAGCACAACAGTCAGAGCCCTGTGTGAAAATTCAGGTCAGAGCCTCACACCATTCTCAAGCTCCTCTGATAGCTTTTTAAAAAAAAGTCTGACATGAGTAAAAGTCTCAGGGCTCTGAGGGAGACAGGGCTGGAAACACTGCTTTCAGTGCCCAGGCCTGCCGTGCCTTTCTCAACAGCACTTCTCTCCATACAGTGTATTCCATCTACTTATCCATTGTCTTTCTCCAGACACCAGAGAAGTAGGCTGCAGGAGGGCATGGCTTTTTGCTATTCCTGATTCCGGTGCCTAGGACACTGGCTGACCCAGAGAAGAATCTTAGTAGATGTTTGTCAAATTGACAGACTCTGCATAAAGTAGTTAGAGAAGTACCTGGGGTAAAATCAGTGTTCAACACCATCAAGATGTCTAGTGTTAAGACTTTTCCAGATCTTGGCTGCCTTTTGGAACAGCTTGTTTATTCAGTCATTAGCCCTTTAAGGCCACACAGTGCTTCAGCCTCCTCCCCAGCATGGGGGCTAAATATGCTTGCTGCTTTCAGCCTGCTACCCCATTCTCTGTTCTACTACCTTAGAAGCCTTTATTAAACATTTAGGCAACCAGAAACTTACCTATGTACAAAATTTAGTCTTAGAAGGAACTGCTGTCAAGGTAAGGAAGGATTGGTTTGCAGAGCATGCAGAGTCTCTGAACCAAATATTGATGGCCTTGTTATTGATGTATGGTAACAGAAAGTTATCTATGCACTATGTGGGGAGTCCTAGGTTGTGTTTCACACACCAAGAGAGCAGTGCTGTAATTTAAGCTTACGATGCTGTCACAATAATACATTGCTCTACATAATATATGTTGCATTGATATATTTTTATGAAAGTTAGATGAATAGACATACTTTATAGCAGATGATCAATTTTGTGTAAGTATAAAAATAGATATAAACACTGGCACATAAGTGAAATTTCCACACATATATGTATACATATGCATCAACTATAGTCTTGATTAAAATACAGAATTTCAGGATCAGAAAAATGCACACATGAGACTAATCACTTCTAAGTTGTAATATAACTAGTGACTCTGTTTTCATCATAAAAATGTTAAAGGCTGAGTATAGAAGCAATGTTCTGGGGAATGTAGTGCCCAAGAAACAAATGGACATGGCCTATACTTGACACTGTGAGTGGCATTTCTGTCAAACCCTTAGCTAGAGTTGAGGTTCACTTACAAGTCCACACATGTATGCACACATCAAAATACATTACAAGCACTAAAGTATGTGGTAAATTTAAAGAGTTCTCCTTTTCTTTGGATAAACTCAACTGACATGTTTTGAACAAATCAGCAGAGCCCAGAGCTGAACTAATTCAGTCTTTAGAGTCTCAGTGAAGCACCAGATATGTAAATACTTTATTCAAAGCTGCAGTAGTTTTAAAACAAGAAGAAACAGAACTCCCTTTAGCACTTCCCACCGTCTATGAAGGGAACAAAAAAACGTGATCGAGTACTGAAATTCATTTCACTTTGAATTAAACCCAGCATCACCGGAGTCTCAAGAGACAGTATTAAGTTCTGTGTTTAGGTAATACTGGGAATTTCACATGCAAGGGCAGAATTCTGTTTGGTTGGCAGAAAGCCAGTCAAACTTCACACTTGTCCTATAAGTAGGTGGTCAAAACTCAGTTCTTGTCATCAAACCCAGTGGCCCCAGTTGCTTAAACTATCTGGGTCTCCAAATCTTTTGTGTTACTCATTTTGAAGATAAACATTCAGAGATAAGATAAAATGAGGCAGGCTTAATGTCTAGTGACAAGGAGGCTAGGTTAGAATCGACCTTGGGGGAAAAACAGAGTCAACTAGGCAGTGTAACAAACAGAAACAGAGAGTAGATGCTACAGAATTTCCCAAGTAGGATCATCAGAGATTTGAGACACACATACTCAAATCTATAACATTTTTCTCTTCAGGAAAATGAGACTCAGAAACCCAGGCAAAGAAGAGGCACACTCACAGCTTTCTCTCTGGTCTCCTTAAAACACATGCTGTAAATTTTCTAGGCTTCACAGTATATTTTTCAAAAGATGTCTTCAGGTTTGGTGGAAGGAGAGCCGGCTTCTCCAAGTGCCTGGTTTTGCTGTAATGGTATATAATGCCTCTCTCTAATAAATCTAACCACAAAAAATTTTTAAAATGTGTCTGCATTCTGCTAATTTATAAAAAGCAGGATGCTGTCAGATAAAATTTCATGAAAATGATCTATAAACCAGACTGTCAAAGTGAAAGCTGCTCAGGCAGTACTTATGGGCAAGAAGTACATGGAAAGCACTGGAAAGGGTTCCTGGGACTGTGGTAAAACAATGGACTGCAATGGGGCTCATGTTACCTTGATTTGCAAGTTACTGTGAGGTCACAGGAAATCCCGAAATGTTTTCCACATTTTCTTTTATACATTTTATGTCAAATTTCCTGCAATTGAAATCGTAAGCCCTCCTACTACTGGACTGTCTTCTGAGGGAAGCGGGATCTTTTGACACTCCCCGCTGAACACCTAATAACTCAATTCCTACCAGTGTAACAAGAACTGAAAGACAGAATTGAAAATGGAGTAGATAAGGCTGAATGCCACATGTCCTAATTCTTTCAAAATGAGAGCCAAACTGATGTCATGAAGGCAAGTGAAAGTGCATTCACTCTAGTGACAGGCCTACTTCTCTTCAGAAGGAGCGATAACAGAAGGAATGACAGCGTGCCTCAAAGACAAAGCCTTACTACTTCCCCAAGTCTCTTATCCAAAATGGACTTACAGATTTACGGTCTCATTTTAAAATGGCATCTTCTTTATGGATCTTCCGAACAAGATTCAAGCTCCCGACAACCATATTTTATTGTGCCAGTGATGTTTATGAAAGGATAAGTCAGATTTAACTTAAATGTTCAAGTTAGAAATATTCGTTGAGGATTTATCACTTCCAAACACGGCGTTTGAAAACAGCTTTTAAATGATCGTGTACTATTTGAATTTAAATCCACCAAATGGAAGATCATGTTAACCATGATGAAGGGTGATTATTGGACACCAGTTTCTAAGGTTCTACTGGATCATGCGTTATCAGCCTGCATTACCTCTCCAGACATATCAGGCGCCATCGGAACCGCAGGCCACAGGGATGAGTAGAGGCCGAAGAATACCACCCAGAGTGCGATGCTGCCCCAGATGGCGATGTGGCTGAACTGCGAGGAAGGAAATCAGGGTCAAGGCACTCCCAGGTCAACCCAGCACACAAATAGTAGTGAAAAGGTCACAAATTCTCTTCACTTTCATTACATTCCGAAAAATAGCACCTCTAGGAACTGCTGTATAACCTTGTGCACTGGCGCCTTCCTGCATCCTGCATCTTTCAGTGCTAATCTCTCCCACAACAGTTCTGATGTCTGTGGACAGGAATTCAGAACTAATCAATCATCCTGTAGTCTTGTTTGCTGCTTCTGTCCTTTTACCTTTACCTTTATCCTTATCTATTACCATCTTTCAATCTTCTTTATCTCTTTCTTTCAAAGATGTTAGACATGTGTGAGATCTTTACCTGGATGTTGTTGCCTGCCAAGTTCAAATTTCTTGTTTCAAATTTTCCCCTGAGCATTAAACTATAATTTTATTTTCTTTATTAAGTCTCTCTACCTGGAAGTGGATATGCTGTAAAATTAACACATTGAAAATGGCACTTATTTTATTCAGACTGTATATTTACAAGTGTCTGAGGACAGATCTTTCATTGATTTTATTGGTTTTCAGAATAATTTTCTTAAAGGTTTTCTGTAGAACATCAGTCTTGTGATACCTCTGAGCAAAGGCACATAAGTTTTGAAAGCCTCCCAACTTTCTGGGATGGTAACAGTGTACAATTCTACATTAAAAGCTGCAAGAAGTCTTTGTAACAAACTTTTTTAACTCCCTGTTTCCAAACTAGAATCTCCAGTTCTTTTCCCTGCAAGCCCAGTGCTCCACAATCCACAAAGGCTGGCTTTGGAATGAAGGGACACTGTGATAGAAGATACTCTTACCCATGTCCAATATGATGTCTCTAGGCCAGCTTTCAAACACACAGTAATCACCACAAACTAAAAACAGAAAGGGAAAATATCATTTCATTTCATACACATGGTAGTTTATCAACAACAGAAAGAATTACAAAGAACAAACAGGTATGTATGAATTAAACCATCTGTGTGACCATCACAGATGGATTAGTTGAGTGGGTCCATTAGGATGTGGCCACAGTTGCTATCTGCATGGCTCCTACTACCCTTCCCTGCCTCCTCTCACATACATAGCTTCAGAGTCTGTCCATGGGGCTCTTGAGGATGAGGATCCTAAGGATTCTCTGCCTGTATTTTGTATGGTTCATTAATAGTGATAGCATGTGCTTATGATAAAGCTTCCTTTAACTTAATTTTAGAACACTTTTTTCATTCACTTCCTGAATTAAAATATATTTTATTTATAATTTTTACTTTATGAGTGTGAGTGTATTGCCCACATGTATGTAAATGCATCCATGTTGTGCAGTGCCTGCAGAGGACAGAAGGTGTCAGATTCCCTGGAACTGGAGTTGTTAGCTACTACATGGGTGCTGGGAATTGAACCTGGGTCTTCTGCAAGAGCAACCAGTGCTCTTAACTACTGAGCCATCTTTCCAGCCCACTTTCTGAATTTTAAGGATAAATTATAAAAGCAAAATAACTGGATATTTAAGAATCCAAATCTTTACTCTGGAACTTTATGTACACAAAATCCTCCAAAAGTAAGATATGAAAGTCAGTCACTTCTTGAAACACACACCATTGATGAGATTAAGGATAATTCTGAAATGGGGAAACAAGGGTAGACTGACGCTTCTGTGTCTCCTATAGAGCACTGCAGTGGCTAGGTGCATCTGCCCTGGAGTCAGATGATCTGTGCACAGGACAGCACCACTTTACAAGCTGCTTTAGTGAACGAATGAGCCAAGTGTGTGTAGATCTCAGCTCCTTCATGTTGAAACTGGAACTAATAAAACTTACTCTGATGGTTAATCTTGACTGTTAACTTGAGTAGACTGAGGAGTGCTCAGGCCATTAGTAAAGAACATTGAGCTTGTCTATGAGGGTGTGTCCAGAGAGGAGTGTGTAAAGGCAGAAGATTCTGTCTGAATGTGGGCAGCACTATCACACTGGCAGGGGCCCAGACGGAATGAAAGGAGGAAGTGGAGAAGGCCCACTAGGGCATACATGCTCTCTGTTGGCTTCATTGCTGCCATGAAAGTGAGCGGCTCTGCCCTTCTAGGCCCTCCCTGCCATGGGAGTCAACATCTCTTGAAACTGTGAGCAAGATAATCCTTCTTCCTTTAAGTTGTTTTGCTCAGATATTTGTCTGCAGCAATGTAAAAATAACTAACACATCTTCCTCAGAGGGTTGTTTTTATTTTTTTTTAAAAAAATTATTT